AAAAAAAAAAAAGACAAACAAATAAAGGAAGCAGCAATAATCTTAAGTAGAAGCAGCAAGTAAACATTTCTAACCGTGAGAACCACAGTCTGTCATGGCTTAACTCTGCCTTCTAGCAGTAGCAGCCAGATAATATGGAAACAAATTTGCTTCCCTGCTTATCAACAAAGCACATTTACAAAGATCCAAGAGTGTAGTTTTGCCATACGTGCTTTCTGTCATCTAAGAGTCATTCACTACTTCTCATTCCCCTTCTATTTAGGCTATGTCCAAAGACATAGCCCTGCCACAGCCGAGTGTGGTTGGTGGAACACACTTATAATCCCAGAACTTGAGAAGCTGAGGTAGGAGGATTACCACAAGTTCAAGGCCAGCCTAAACTGCATAGTGAGACTCTCTCAAAATTTTAAAAATTTGATTAAAGAAATAAATCCTGCAATAGAGGTGCCACCCTCAGGGTTTAAGAGCCCAAGATTCTCCCCTTCCCAGAGGTCTGCCTCCCCACGCACTCCCCAGCTCTAATACTCTGATCTTTCTTTTTTCTTTTCTTTCTTTTTTTTTTTTTTTCTTTCAGAACCAGGTATTAGAATAAGCCAGGCAAGTGCTTATTCTACTGAGCTATCTCCCTGGCCCCTAATATTCTTTATCTTGATCCACTTACTCTTTTGATGGGTCCGTACACTTCAAATTCTCTCCGAAGCTTGGATTCTGTTGTGTCATAGTTCTACAAAGAGACAGTTTCAAAGTGAAAAGAAGCTGTCCTAAAGTAGCCCCACCTACTACCCTGAGACCCAGGCCCTAGGTGGGGGTGGGGTTGTGGGCCTGGAAACTGGGGACTCACCACTCTGGCCACAAAGAGAGTCTTGAAGGCATCGCCCTGAGCATTGGGATCATTGTGTGGGTCCCCTGTGCAGAAAGAAGACATTTCATAATGTTGCTGTAGCCAGAGATATCCAGACAGGTACAGATGGATGGGCAGAGGCCATGGAGACAAAGACAAAGTTGGGGGAGGCCTCCAGTAGAGGAAAACAGCCAGTAACCTGGCAATTCCAGGGACATCCCTCTAGCTTCCCTGAAGCAGCACCCTTGTAGGAATGACTATGTTCAGGCTAATGGAATGAGGCTGACTTCAAGCTAAAGGATGTGGCAGGCCTGAACGTCTTTTCAGTCCTATGAACTAGACGAGTCCCACCTCTCCCAAGTGCAAGGTGGCCTGAGCAATAAAGAAGCAAGCCCAACAGGGCCTTCCTGGAGAGACAGCCTTATGTGGTGGCTGAGCTCACTCTCCACATCCTCACGCAGGGTCGCACTGCCACCCAATGGACACAATGGCAACCATAGTCCAGGAGATCCTGAAACCAAGCAACCCCAGAGTGCTGGGGTTACACTCCAACTGTATATCCAGCAAAATTTGGATGCATAAACCAGTATCACTTGGATGCGTGAGACTCTGGCCTCAAATCCCAGAACTAGCTAATCATGGTAGAACACTCTGGGAGGTTGAGGCAGGCAAGCGGCAGACTGGGCAAACCAAGTGAGACCCTGCTTGAGGATTAACAAGTAATTAACAAGTAAGGATTAACTGCCTTACAATTAACAGTTAAAAAGGGGGTCAAGAGTGCAGTTCAGTGCAAAGAGCCAAGTTCAATCCCCAGTGCTGAGGAAAAGAAAAAAAGGGTGGGGATAGGCAGGATCTACCTAATGTTGCCCACCCTGGGTTCAAATTTGAGATCCTTCTGCCTCAGCCTAGCCAGTTTGGATTACCAGTGACTTTTAAGGAATTTCTTAAAAACCTACCAGTCCGGGGCCGGGGAGATGGCTCAGTAGGATAAGCGCTTGACTGGCAAACGTCAAGGATCTGAGTTCAATCCCCGGTTCCACCAAAAAAAAAAAAAAAAAAACCTACCAGTCCAAGGCCAAATTTAAGGGAATAACTACCTGGCAACTGACAGAAACTTCCTTTTGGTTTTTTTTTTTTGGCGGAACTGGGGATTGAACTCAGACCCTTGCATTTGCCAGGGAAGCACTTATTCCACTGAGCCATCTCCCCGGCCCCAGAAACTTTCAAAGACAACTCTATCTCTGTGTGTATGGTATCTCCCATAGCCCCAACCTCCTTGCTATACCAAATTCTTGTGTGTTGCACTTTTCTATGCTCAGGTCTCTCAAACTGAACTGGCACGCTCTCATTCATCTAACAGTATTTAAGCATCTGCTGTGTACTTTGTGCTGCTGCAGGTACTGGGGATTTGGGAGTAACAAAAAAGATCTCTATCTTCAGACAGTTTATAGGCTAATGAAGGGGCTAGCCAAGGTAAATGAACCAATCATGAGTTACCTCAGATAAGCTCAGAGATGGACACACCACAGATTCTAAATGAAAAGAGCTGGGCAAGGCCACAATGACCTGGCCACACACATCTGCAGACAAAAGGGTGCCAAGCTGCAGTGGGCAGTGCATGCACGGCCATTACAGTGTTGGTGTCATGGGTAGTATGTAGTGTGTGCTCTGGTGGGAGCGGGGAGCTGTGGCCAAGAGACAACTGAGCTTGCTGGAGGATGGTGGCAATGTGCCCACCAGACAAAAGGGGAAAAACCCCAAGCACACTACACCAGGCTGCTATCATTCGCTTACCTAAGGGAGTAAAGCAGGCATCACCCAGTCAATAGTACCCCAGTACCTGAAGGAACACATTACCTTAAAGAGGTTGGCAAAGAACCCAACGGTCAGTGTACTGTATGCATGCACACCACACCCTGAACTGCTTGCAATGCTACCCTTAAGAACTCTCTGGTACATTAGGAAGAATGTATGCAATGTGTTAATTATTGAAACTGTCCTATCAATTTGATTTGAAACTGTCTCATTGCTATTTATCAATAAAATTATGGGGAATAAAAAAATAAAAAAAAATGTTAAAAAAAAAAAACACAAACTCTCTGGGAGCTGGACATGATGGACCATGCCTGCAGTCCCAGCATTCAGTAGGCCGAAGCAGGAGGATCATCTTGAATTTCAGGCCAGCCTGGGCTACTAGATGAGCTCAAAGCCAAAACCTTAACTACACAGTAACATCCTGTCAAGAAACCAAACCAAGGGGCCAGGGAGATGGCTCAATAGGATAAGCGCTTGACTGGCAAACACAATGATCTGAATTCAATCCCCAGTCCCCCCCCCCAAAGAAACCAAAACAAAACCAAACCTCTGTGGGCTGGGAATGGTGGTACCTGTCTATAAATTCTAACTATCCAGGAGGCTGAGGCAGGAGGACTACACATTTAAGACTTATTTGGGCAACTTATAGACCCTGTCTCCAAGTGAAAAGATTAAAAGAGCTAGAGATGTACTTCAGTAACAAGAGTGCCCCAACTTCATCTCCAGTACCACAAAATAAGCATCCATTTTTTTTTTTTTTTTTTTTTAAATCTTAAGGTTCAACACCCTACTGCAGTTGGAGAATGTGAAGTATCACAAACATGAAGTACACTTGGGGCAAAGTGCCCTTCAACAGGGCTGTCATTCATAACAAGGCACACCAAGCTTCTAGTTACGGCAGAAACACCGGAGGCAGAGAACCCATGCCGTACTTGCGCCATCCTCTCCTGTTTCTGCCCATTCTAGATGACAGGACAGTAGATCGAAGGATAACGAACCCCCACAAACCAGCTTCCATTATAAACATGTGGCCAAACCTGAGACCCCTCTACCATGCTCCATTCCCACTGGACTTCTTTAAATCAAACCCCAGATGTATTATTCTGGCCTCTAACACAGATTTCCAAAGAAATCATGATATCATAACATGATTACTTTTTTTTTTTTTTTTTTTTTGCGGAACTGGGGATAGAACTCAGGCCCTTGCGCTTGCCAGGGAAGCACTTATTCTACTGAGCCATCTCCCCAGCCCCACGATTACATCTTGAAATGTTAACATTAATTCCTTAAGCTCATCTAAGACACAGTATTCAAATTTCCTCAAATGGAACTTTCTCGAACAGCTTTATAAAAAGTCATTTAATTTGGGCTCCAACCAACTCCTGAGTATATCATTCCGTTGATATGTCAATGTCTCAATTCATCGTTCAATTCTTTTGCTTTTCATTTGTTTCTGCAGTACTAGGGATTGAACTCAGGACCTTGTGCTTGTCAGGCAGTTGTTTATGCTGTTGAGCTATATACCCAGCCCTTTGCTTGTCATTTGTTACTATAACTATTGGGTTGTAAGCTTATCCTGTTCCATCTCCCACACTTTCAGTTGGTACAATTCTAGTCTGGGTACACAAGGAAGGGGCTGGGCTTTAACACTGAGGAAGGTGCTAGAGAGACTGGCATAGTGCTTCATTCAGAAACACCAGCCATGACGTTGAGGCATGAGGATCACTATGGGTTCAAAGCCAGTCTACACTACACAGTGAGTTCAACGTCAGCCTGAGACCCTGTCTCAAAAAAACAAAGTCCAGCAATGAGCTGGAGTGACAGGTAAACCAAGTAGACTATGACTGGGTCATCCAGGGAAGGAGCAATGCGTATAGCAAAGATCTGTATTCATGGGAAGAAAAGCCAAGTTTGTATCATTTAAGAGTAACAGGACAGGTCTAGGGGATAATCAGGGGAAAAATTAAATGAAGGTATAAAGTGGAGCTGGGAGCCAAGTATGGTGGTGTACGCCTATAATCCAAGCATTCAAGAGGCTGGGGCAAGAGGATCACTGCAATTTCAAAACAAGCCTGGGCTACAAAGTAAGCTCAAGGCCAGCCTGTATTGCACAGCGAGATCCTATGTCAAAGAGACAAAAAAATAACACAGCATAGCACAGCACAGCACAGCAAAACATAATGTGCAGCTAGGGATGTAGTTCAGTGATAAGTCAGTGCTTGCCTACCACATGTAAGGCCCATGTAAGGCCCTCGGCTCTTATCTCCTGCACTGCAACAAACAAGATCAAGGATCAAGATGGCATCAAAGCCATGACTAAATAAGAAACTAGGCTGATAAGAAGGAAAAAGTCCAATGGCAATCTCAGCATGTAGGAGGCTGAGGCAGGACAACCACCATGAGTTCAAGGCCAGCCTTGGCTATATAGTGAGTTCAAAGCCAGCCTGAACTACATAGCGAGAACCTGACATAAAAATCCAAAACCCCAGTAGTGATTTGGACACTGAGTCTGAGATGCCTTAGGCTTCCACAAAAGGGCAACAAGATAGCTGCAGAGAGCAGCTCCCAGCTCAGTGTCTGTCATGCACTTGTATAAACCACTCAAGAAATCTGCTGCTGCAAGAGAAAGGTACACAGGGAAGGGATTCACCACAGCCTCACAGAAGTAGGAATAAAACCAACAATCTCTTACCATTAAGTTTTTACCATTAAAAAAAAAAAAAAAAAAAAAAAGGGGCTGGAGAGATAGCTCGAGGGCATAAGCGCCTGCCTGGGCAAGCCTAACGTCCTGAGTTCAATCCCCAGTACCACAAAAAGAAAAAAAAAAAAAAAACAGGCCAGCCAAATAGCTCAGCAGATTAAAGCACCTGCTTAGGCAGACATAGGGCCAGGAGCTCCATCCCCTGGCCTGCCATGCTGGCCCCAGCGCAGCCCCTGGGGCATGCTGAGACTGTGATTGAGACTGGGCATGGTGGCAAATGTCTGCAATCCCAGTACTTGGGAGGCTGTAAACAGAAGGATCACTACAAGTCATATCTACGCAGTGCGACCCTGTACACCCTGTGCTAAATACAAAAAAAAAGTTAAAAGTCTTTACCATAACAAATACAGGAGTTTGCTATCTGGCCCTCTTGTGAGTTTGATAAATGGTTCCATACCTGGTCCTTAATAAATCCTCCTTTCCAGGAAGGGACCAACTCACTGGCTCAGAACTCCCTGCCTCAGCTGGGCTGCGTTCTCAAGCGCACTACAAGAGGGGCCAGGGGGCTCCCTTCTCGCCTGACTTTGCTCTATTCTCCCCCACCTAAAAACTGAAAGCCACTGCAATGCACAGCAAATGGAAGTGGGTGTTGGGGGGCCGCACACAACCCCACTCTATCCAAAAGGGCTTGGAGGAGCAGGCTCCTAGTTGTGCCCTAGGAACAAGAACAGAATCTAAGGGAGAAGAGAGCTATGGAGGAAGGGGAGACTTACACATCTTTAGCTCTGTCTCTACTTCCTGCTGTCGCCGCTCAATCTTTTCTCGTCTCTGTCAAGAAAAAAAAGAGGGCAGTGGAAAGGTGACTGCAGACAGAGGGACCATCCAGAGAAAAAAGCTAAAAGGATGTGGGGCCAAGAGATAAACATAATGTACCTTACGCTCCATGCGCTCCTCCCGGGTTTCAGCACGTGTTGGAGGAGGGGCATCTCGAGGGTCCTGGGAACAGGAAGAGAAATAACAGAGAGGGCCTAAGAAAGACACCTACCAAGAAAATATGAATCTCAGTGACCTCCCTATCACACACTCATTTACACAAATAGCAACAGTCTCTAGGTCCCAGTGGAAGTAAAAGTGGCACATATTAAAGTATGGCCCATAGACCAACCTGTCCACAAACAGTTGCTCGTCTGTGACAAGTACAGAAAACAGAAATATTCAAAAATTTCTAGCTAGGGGCTGGAGAGATGGCTCAGTGGTCTAAGGCACCTACTTAGAACAGGCTTGGCGAAGCATCAGGGACCGCGGTTCAATCCCCCAGCACCACATGCCAGCCAGCCCCGCCCCCTGGTGGGCTGAGCTGGCCACACAC